CCCCAAAACCCCAAAACCCCAAAACCCCAAAACCCCAAAACCCCAAAACCCCGGAGGGCTAATTATAGTTGAAACCCATTAACCTTTATATAGAATCCAGAAAATTATGGGTGTGAATATCAATGGTATGGGGGTCCTCATATACTGTATGCAGAGATCTCTCTGGGTCTGTCAGCCCATCCTTATTCATATCTTTAACCTTATAATGCAATTTCCTGGGCTTTGCATCTAGCTCAGATAAGTTATTGTTGCTACCTCGAGGAACGGGGAGTGGAGCTTTCTTCTGTAGCTTAGACTTCAACGTTGTAATCTCTATGGAATTAGAGCTTTAAGCTTACTCTTCCTCTTAGATTTCTTCTTTGAGCTGGGATCCATCCTAGTCTTTGGGTATGCCTTTTGAGTGGGGATATTATCCATCCGTACAGGCTTATATCAGTCACGGACCTTCTTGGAACTCTTGAGTTTCCTGATTTTAGAGGCTGAGTGTTGTAAACTATTGGATTTAGCGTTGCTAAATTTCTCTCTCTTCTTCATAGATCTTGCTGAAGTTAGTTTCAGAGAGTCAGGCTTGGCAGACCTTGACGTGTCTTTTTTACGACCTCTGCTTATTGAGCGACTGATTAGTCTCTCTTGGTCTAGTTCAATCCCCATATTTTGAACTTGTGCTTGTAATTTTTGAATTATTTTACGCTGAAGTTGTACTTGGTTTTTAAGTATTTGATTCTCTTTCAAAAATTCTCCTTCATTCTAGATTTTCTTGAGAGGAAGCTTACATTGTTGTTTCGGAGAGGATTTTTAAGTTGGGATTTGAGAGATTCATTTTCTAATCGCAGGTTTTCAAGAATTTTGGCAGAGTCTTCTTGAGATTTATTTCTAAAATTTTATAAGTTTTAGAATTATGTAAAAAATATACCAAACTCATTTAAATAAATTTTTTAACGAATCTAAACTCATAAACAACTTTATAAATACAATTGATACAATCTTGATGCATAACACCAATCTCCGATATCAACCAATTCAGCAAATCTCTCCCAAAATACTTAAAAATAATTATCTCTTCTATCACTTTCTAAAAATCTCTAAAACCCAAATTCCCCTAAACCCCCCTTCTTAACTCAAAATCCTACTTTAAACTCTTCAACCTGCTCACTCTGCTCCTGCATCTTCTCCCTCAACCCCTGTCACACTTGCCTCTGCTTCTCCAATTCCCCCTTCAGCCCTCCTATCTCCTTCGATTTCTCTTCACAAGAATCCATCAACCTACACTATAACTCCCTACCTACATTCCCGTCTTCTTCACCATTTCTTCATCAAATTTCCTCTGTAACTCCTCTATAAAATCTCCATAACCCCACTCATTTCCATACCCATTCTCCCACCCCACCCGCATAACCCCAGTCACAAACTTTCTTCCCCACCTAGTCTAATTTCTACAAAACCCTACTACACCACTTGGATTCTCCCTTTCTTCTTAAGATCAAATTTACCCAAAATAGCATGTTTATCTACAAAGATTTGACTAAATTGTTGGTTTTGGTAGAGACAGAAGAGAGTTTTGTTTGGAAGGGGTAGGGAAAGTGGGATGGGAGAGGAAGTGGAGGATAGGGAAGGAACTTACTGATGGATTGGAGGTTTTGAGATGTAAGGTTTTGTATTATGGGGTCTAGGATAGCTTGGGTGTTGGCTAAGGCTTGTTTGGAGAGTAAGTCAGTCTGGGCTTGGGAAGGTTTTGGGGAGGTTTTGATGGAGTCTAGAATGGAGTTTTGTAGTTGGGAGTTGAGGTCTTTTTGAGTGTTGAGAGCGGATTTGAGGGAGGTGATTTCTAATTGGAGAGATGTGATTTTGGATTGGAGAGAGGGGATTTGGGGGTCGGGAGGGGTTTGGGTTTCTTGTGTGATTTGAAGGATTTGAGAAGGTTTCTGGAGTTTTGATGATTTTCGTCTTTGGATGAGCTTTTTAGGTGTTTTGGAGGTTTTGTGCTGGTCTAGAATCGGCTTTTGGTTTGGGTAAGGCTTTATTGTTTTTTGTAAATTTTCTTTAGGTGAGCTGTATGACCTCATATGCAAAATGGTCGGATTAGAGTTTTCTAACATTTCAAAAGCCTTTTCATCATTTTCCCTAAAATATTATTCCAATCCTCACTGTTTCGTTTCCTGAGCTGTATCATGATCTGCAAATCTAACATTCTCGTCATTATCAGCAGATTTAGTTTCTTCATCAATATATTTCTCTTCCTCTATGCCAGCATTTGAGCTAAATACGACTCCTCTCTCCTGACTTGACTCTTCACCTTCATGCTCTCCTACATCAAGTTCAGATTTCCTTAGTGGCATGTCGTTTGCAATCTGGTCTTCTTCCTCTACTTTCTGTTGACTCTTACTTTCTTCTTTAGAATTTTCATTTTGATTGTTTTCTTCTTCAAAAGTGCATTCCATTTCTTGCTGTTTCCTCTTCAAAGTTTCCTCGTTTTCCTAGTTACTTAACAAACGGACACTTACTTCCAAATTCTGGTCAAAGATTCCAGGGTATTTCTCAGTCTTAATATGGGGATCTTTCAGCTGGAAGGGGCTATAAACCTCATTTCTGGATGAAATACCTATTTTTGAAATCAAAATCAGGCGATTTAAATAACTCTCTCTTGTCACTATCCTCAATATGAGCCAGGTCATCCTTCAGCATCTGGTCTCGCCTTTGGATATAGCTCATTCCATCCTTGTTGTTTGAGAAATCAGGGTTTTTGATGATGTTCTCAGGTGCAGCTTTAGGAGTATTCTTTACATCAGATGTCCCGAAACTTGGTGATTTCATTTCGCTCAATGGAACATATTTGAAATCTTTGGAATTTCTATAGATATTCTCATAATTTCTTACTTCTTTTTATGCTTAAGACTCCGTTCAATGATCTCTTTCAACCGCTCGTCCTCCGGTTTTACCAAGGTAGGTTCTGTTTTCTCAATAAACTCCACTTCAAAAGTCTCTCGAGGATCTCTAACAGGACTGAGAGTAGAACTTTGAATGAAACATCTCGGCTGGTAGACTGGAACCCTTGATCTATTAACCATTGGTGATTTATTTTTCCCTATGAATGAAAGGACTAAAATACCATGGCAATCCTTCCTTCTAAGAGGTCTGTAATCATTCCCTATAAAAGTTAATCAGATTACCAACCTTTGCTAATATTCTTTGGACCGACTGAGCTTGGCCTTTCCATTTCGGTATTTCTAAGATGATGAATCTGACTTGAATCATTTTTATTTCTCATGCTGAATTTAGATTTCAAAACAAATTATCATATAAACTTAATAGAAAACCGAACCAAATATACCTTGGATAATACTTAGGTTGCACTAATTTGTCCATATAAGCCCGTTTTGCGTTCTGGATTCTGCCTTCAGAGTAGCCTCTGGACCTAGTAATCAATTTGAAACTCTTACAAATCATGATATTTCTGACTATTAAAGCCACTAGGTGTTGCCAGTTTGCCATCAATGGTGCCAATTCCTTCCTTGTACTGTCCTAAAACACATAATATCGCAGGAGAACCCTTGGGGAGGGGTTGGGAGGACTTACTGCCATACTTATCAAATATTTCCTGGATGCTGTTAATCATTTCTTATTATGAATATTATTTACATTAAAATCTCATAATTTATTTAAATTCAACAGTTGGCTTTGCCCTTGGGGTTTTGGGGTTTTGGGGTTTTGGGGTTTTGGGG